ATTATAGCTATCGTGCAAACTGTTACTCCTAAGCAATGAATCATTTTTGTAAAGCATAACTCCAACAATGTCATACTTCACTGCCAACTCGCTGACGCACACTCCCCCATTACCTAAAGCAGTCAAGTATACAGGGTCCTCGAAGATTTCACCTCTACCTACCTCTCCAGAGTTTGATCTTGTCATCCCCTAATCTATATTATAGCTCGTACTTATGATTTCCCAAATATAAGACTGTTTTGCCTTCTGCACCCTTCTACCTATGCGGGACAGAAATGTTTTGCTAAGGGAAGACTACGGTGGAAGGATATAGTTCTTTGTTGAGCCTTTACCATGTACCAGAGAGTGTCTGAAGCCTTCTTTATACTCTAATTCATTTACACAATTCTAGTTTTATTATAGATGCAATTTCTAGTTTTTGAATAAACTATGCAAATAGGCCAACAGGTATATCAACACTTGATGATTAAGTTTCAAGAGAAAGGAGAAAGAGAGAGAAAAAAAAGGGGGTTTCTGTGCAAAGCATTTTTTCATGGTTTTATTGATGTACACTTTGTTAAAAAAAAAAAAAAAAAAAGGCAACAGGCCTAAAATAGAGTCACCTGTGCTAAACCCACATCACCAAAATGAGATTTAATATCTAACTTAATAGTTGTTTCAACATCTCTCAGGAATGTAATCTTATGGAGTCAGTCTATACTAGTCAATACTAGTAAGGTAATCCATCTGATAAACTGCTGTTGTCCCCAAAGGAAGGTGACCTTGCTTGAAACAATCCACTCTTTGCTTGTTTGTTACATTATCCCTAAGATTACAGCAGGAAGCAGAAAGGAGATAGTTAATAACTTCCTTGTCCCAACCTTTTCCACCTACAAGTCTTTGATCTTACACAGCTTTTCAGTGTTTCTTCCTACTTTCTAGATGGGATGCTGCCCAATTTATGGATCATTGAATAAAGCCAATAAGATTTAAAAATTTTACTTAGCTAAGCTTTTTTTTTTTTTTTTTTTTAAACAAATCCTGTATAATAAAAGCCTAATATGCTAAGTGTCTGACCATTCATTTCACTGTTTGACCAGTCGCTATGATGTGCACTGACCACCAGGGGGCAGATGCTCCGACTGGTAGATAAGCTTGATGCTGGGATCCCACTGACTGGTACTGGGTGAGATGCGCCGGACATGCCCTTGAGTCCTCCTGCGGTCCCTCCAGTAAACCTGATGGTGCACTGGTCAGGTTTCTTGGCCGGGCCTGCACTCTCTTGCAATCTGGAACCACTCAGGGGATTTCAGAGAGCCAGTTTCATCCCAGTCCCTGAAGTCTAGGCCGAGGGACCCCACTGGTGCACGAATCTATGCACCAGGCCTCTAGTTGATATAAACTACACATATTTGAAGTATGCAATTTGATCAACTTTGATATAAATATAAATATAAATATAAATATAAATATAAATATAAATATAAATATAAATATAAATATAAATATAAATATAAATATAAATATAAATATAAATATAAATATAAATATAATGTATCTGTGAAGCTATCACCACAATCAAAATCAAAGAATCCAGGAGGATGACACATTCAAATATATAGAATGATGGGGAGGACAGGCCAACTCCTAGGACAAGATTTCTAATGCTTTGAGAAAAGTTCTTTCTTAAAATGATAGGTGGTCTCTGATGCACTGACAAAAAAAGAAATGTCATTTTCATAATAATAATAAAAAAAAAGAACCTGGAAAGTTCTGAATAAACATAGTAGGTTTAGGGTGTCTATAGGGTGTCTAGGTTTGGGCTGAGTGGCCTGAGTCCTTCCTACCTGAAGGTGCTTCTTTTCCAGGTGACATGCAAAACTCTCTGAAAGATGTATCCACAAGCCAAGCCTTTGTTTCTCATGGAAAAATAACCTAGTCCTCCAACAGTGTCACTATATAACAATGGGATATACCACAGCTCACTAAATCAACCTGCTCCTACTGTGCTACCGCCCAAGAATCATTAGTCACCTAAATATAAATTCTACAAGCAGGAATCATTCTTTTATGATACAGAAGGTTTACATCTTCCCTCCATGGCTATGTTTGCAAGATACTCATCCTAGAGGGCACAGGATTAGCAATGACAAACAAGATAGCATCTTTCTTAACAAGAGGAAAAATAAACCATAGAGGCTGATGTTTTGCAAGAAATAATGAACATTCCTCATACTTTATGCTGAGCTAATAAACTCAACTGATGAGATATTTCACAAAGATATACATAACATCATCAAAATAAATTAAATTTCCTGAAACAGTAAATAGTTATTACTGAATTCACTGCCTAATTGTTTCCCCCCATTAAAATAATTTTTGTCAATTTGAAACAAAACTGTTAAACTTAAACAAAAAAGGAGGGGTTGTGATTCTGTATGTTTGCTAGCTTGCTAAGAATGCCTTTTGCTGTGACCTTTTTGTGGCATTTGGCAATTTGTCACCTTCCACAATTTAAAGTCCATGGTTTTATATCCAGTAAATATAGGGTGTCCCCAAAAAGGTTATGTACACTTTGAATAATTATAAGGGAAGTGTTTATTAAAACATATTTCATTTTTTAATTGAGCTGCTAAAGTGTGTATACATTTTTTGGGAGACCCTGTATTTTTAATTGATCACTCATGCTTTTCTAGTCATATGCCTATTATTGAGGTGTGTGCATTTTCATATAATAATTCCCATTTGACAATTCAATACCGTTTGAATTTGTGCCAATCAACCATGTAGAACACCATGACCCACTGAGGGCGTACAAAGACAAATATGTGCCATCTAAACTTTAGAATTAAAAAGCTCATTGCTTGAAGAAAGTTTCATTTTTCCTACAGCTCAGTGATACCAGAGCATTTCCTAGAACAACCAGAATCAATGAATTCAATTCCTAAAATTTTGTATCATTTATAGGTGTTTTAATGAGTAAACTATACCCCCTAACTTTCCTAAAAAGAATCATAGTGATGACTGGAAATGGATAGAAATGACAAATGACATGGTAGAGACATAGATCATCAAACATGCATTACAAAAAGGTTTTTCTATAAAACAACCACAGTTATTCCTCCCTTTTATATTCCTCAAGAATAATTTAAGAAAAGGATTTAATGTTTCCTAACCTCGTGCATGGGGAATTGTGTTTGTTTTCATTAAAAAAAAAAAAAAAAAAAAAAAAGATCATTATCTCCACAGGCTTGGCTGTGTACATTATGCCCCATAAAAGTTCAATGGTTATGGACTTACCTGCATACATTTGGAGACATTTTTTCCTTCTTCTCTCTATTGCATTTCACTACCCTAACTCATATTTTATTACCCTCTTGGCTCAGGGATAGGTAGAAGCAATAAAATGAAAATCAGGTTGGTTTCACAGACTGTAAACATGCATTATGAATTTGAAACATATCATCAGATACATATTATGCTCATTGAGCATATATTTTAGAAGATCTTCCTTGGAGACATTTTATGATTAAAACCATAATCTGGAACCATTCACTGTCCTTAGCTTAGAATTCTGTGTGGTTTCATGAGATGTTGACTTTAAAAAATACAATCTAAACTTATAGTTTTTTGAATCAAAATATAGGTAAAACAGATTTTTAATTGGAAAACCAGAAAAATACTATAAATCCTTTACACATTGAAACAGAGATCAGAAGTAAAAATTTAAAAAATCAGATTCAACTGATAGATTAAGAAATTTGTAGACAATCTTATTTCATTCTTTGTTTGCCCCATGGAAGGAACTATGTCCCTGAATGTTTAAGAGGCTTCTCCAAAGTAACATGGGATCAGGCTGGACCCCCAACCTCCTAGCTTCGATCAAACTGTAACTATGCTTTCTCCTACAGAATGTTCAAGTGAGGACTCTAGGTCTAGTTCTGGCTTCAGCTGTAGCAACATGTCAGACTGCTTTCACCAAGGGAAGGACACCACCACATCTTAAGATCAATATATTCAAATTGCCCAATTTGCATAAACAAAATTATAGACAGATGGGGGTGGGTATAGAAATCAGATATACGAATCACATACACCCAAAAACATTACTTTAGTGTTGCCATTTTTGCAAGATGTCGAACCTGCAGGTAGTCATACATGAATTGAACTAAAAATCAACACATTAGGGCTGCCTAATTTTCAGATGCATAAAAACTTATAGGTGGGGATCATGTGCAGTGACCATATTTAAGACCAACATATAGGGCCCACTAATTTTGAAAACTCTGAACTTTTACAGTTTGAAGCTACTTAGTCTATGTGTGTGTGTGTGTGTGTGTGTGTGCTCACATGCACACACAAATTTGAGTATCTGGTATCACTCTGAAGCACTTGATATGATTAATATACCTAACAACACAAAACACACATATCTCAGAATGTATCCCCACAGTTAAGAGGTATATGAACATGCAATTAAGAACTCTAATAGTTTGTACAGCTCACGTACTAGATCCAATTCACAGTGACAACCTAAAGAGCTACTGAGGAGAGAGAGAGCAAGTGAGCTAAGAATGACTATCTTATCCTGGAGAATGAGGAACTGTGAGAGCAAGTGAGCTAAGAATGACCATCCTTATCCTGGAGTATGAGGAACTGTGCCCCCCCTTTCTCCTGTCCCTCAGAAATATGTGTGAGAAATAGAGAAATGGATAATTAATTATAGGAAGGTTTAATTTGGGTAGATTAGATCATGTCATGCTGGATCATCTCTTGCTACATTGAGTAATTCTGTAATGAAGTAGCTGGAAAAGTCTACCACTGATTGCATAAACACAGCAAAGTTCCCTGTAGCTTATAGACTTTTGTAGCTTTGATGCTGCTCCATTTTGAAATTCTCTACTCTTAGGAATACCATTCTGCATCTATAAAACCACTTGCTCTATACAATTAACTTGGTTTCCATGTTTACAAAAAGGAACACATCTGAAATGCATGGTGTAGGGTGCATTCTCACTTACCTTTTCCGCCGACTGCGCGGTGCCAAAAAAAATGGGGATGAAGGCAAGCCACACTATACACGTCGTGTACATCGTGAACCCAATGGGCTTGGCTTCGTTAAAGTTCTCGGGGACACCCCGAGTCTTGATGGCGTACACAGTACACGTGACCATGAGGAGGATGCTATATCCCAAGGAGCAAATGATCTGCAGGTCTGTGATGTCACATTTGAGCACTCCCCTGGCCAGCTCGGGGTTCATGGTCTTATGCTCGTCGTAGTCTACGATGATGTTGGGCGGGTCCACGCCAAACCAGATGAAGACGCCCAGAAGCTGGACGGATATCAGGCTCGAAGTGATGGCCAGCTGCGACGATGGGCTGATGAGCCTGGGAGCCGTCACGGACTTCTTACCCTGCTCGAATATGCGGTAAATCCGGTTGGTCTTGGTCAGGAGGGCCGCGTAACTGATGCACATCCCCAGGCCCAGGAACACCCTCCGGAAGGAGCACACCGCCACGTCGGGCTTGGCGATCATCAGGAACGTGATGATGTAGCAGAGGAAGATGCCCGTCAGCAGGACGTAGCTGAGCTCCCGGCCCGACGCCCGGACGATGGGCGTGTCGTTGTAGCGGATGAACGTGGCCATGACGAAGATGGTGGCGACGATGCCCAGCATGGCCAGGAAGACGGGGATCACGGCCCAGGGCGAGTGCCACTCCAGCTTGATGATGGGGATGTCCTGGCAGCCGGTCCGGTTCTCGTTGGGCCGCTGGTCGTACGGGCAGTGCTGGCACGTGTTCTCGTCGAACTGGAACTGGTAGCCGTCGCAGGGCTCGCAGGTCCAGCAGCAGGGCGTGCCCTTCTGCGTCTTCTTCCTCTGGCCGGGCTTGCAGGGCAGGGTGCACACGGAGTGGGGGATCTCCCGGACCCCTTTGCCCCACTGCATGTCCTCGATCTACAGCGTGAGGAATAAGAATGCAACAGCGTGTTATTCGAGAGAAAAGAGAAAGGACCATAGCAGCACACAGTCCTAAGAGAAGCATTGGACCACGGGATGAGGCCATGTATACTCCTCTGGTTGTAGGGTCTACAACCGAGATGTGACTCCCTCCCAATCCATTGCAACATCTTCACCATTCATGTAGCCATAGGGTCTGTTCCAAACACACTTGATTCTAAGAAATTCCTGTGGCAACTTTTAAAAATATAAATTCTTTGTCCCCACCCCTGACGTCCCAAATAAGAATATCCCGAACAAGATCCTTTAAATCTTTATTTTTTTTTAAAAAAAATTATTATCTGTGTACATATCTTACCATTGGTCCCCCTCCCAGACATGCCCTTCCCCCACCAGAGTTTTGTGCCCATTGGTTGTACTTATATGCATGTATACAAGTCCTTCGGTTGATCTCTTATCTCCCCCAGATCTCGCTACCCTCCCTGCTATAATTTACAGTCTGCTTGTTGCTTTACTGTCTCTATATCTACCTTTGGTTCATCAGATTATAATGTTCTTTATTATCCATAAATGAGTGAGGTCATATGGTGTTTCTCTTTCATTGACTGGCATATTTCACTCAGCATGATGGTCTCCAATTCCATCCGGTTGCTGCAAATGATAAGAATCCCTTCTTTTTTATGGCAGCATAGTATTCCATTGTGTAGATGTACCATTGTTTTTTGTGGATCTTTACTTTTTTTTAAAATATATTTTATTGATTTTTTCAGAGAGGAGGAGAGAGGAATAGAGAGCTAGAAATGTTGATGAGAGAGAAACATCTACCAGCTGCCTCTTGCACACCCCCTACCAGGGATGTGCCCGCAACCAATGTACATGCCCTTGACCAGAATCGAACCTGGGACCTTTCAGTCCGCAGACCGATGCTCTACCACTGAGCCAAACTGGTTTTGGTGGATCTTTACTTTTAACAAGCGCCCTGTTGAGTGCTATGATGAGATAAATTGAGAAATACCCACATGCTCTCTATAGCCTTCTCCAGGATAAATTCAAGTGTCTCAAACTACAGCGCTCACTCTCACACACTCTCTCTCTCTTTCTCTCTGAAATAATATAAAAGGCTACCTTCATCTCCCTTATTAGGTGCTTTAAAATTGTTTTAAGATTATTTTGCATCCTGTAGCATCACTGCCATTTCCACTGAGAACTTGTGAAGCAGAGCCAGCCTGTCGTTTCATTATCACCCAGGAGCTAAAAGGCTCACTCTGAGAGCGTTAATTCTAGAGGAGGATATCCTAAGAGGTCAGGAAGCATTTGATCAGAAAATAACGGTCTGGAAACCTTTCAAGGTTGGCCATGTACCTTTTTGGAGATGAAAATTAAACAAAAACACTCCTACTTAGAAGAGGATAGATAAGTGTTTGCTTAATGAGAATATTGATTTTCTGGAAGGGAATCCATAATCAACAATGTTCGGAGAAATAATGGCATTAGCAACAGAATGTTTTACTATTGGGCTGGCATTCATAGTGGTGGATACCGCCCAGCTTTGCCAGAATTGGCAGCTACTGTTCTGCTTTCCTGCGGCCACTTTCTCACAGTTCTCTCTGTGTTGTCTGTGGAATCACACTGAAGCTCTGGGGGCAGCACACAGGACACAGTGTGGCCAGTGAGTAGACCCCGGCGGCGGGTCCCACCTCTGAATGTGCATCAGACCCACCTGGAGGGCTTGTTACATCCCAGGATGCTGGCCCTACCTTCTAGTTTTCAGATGCCCTGGGTATGGGATGAGGCCTGAGGATGTGTATTTGCATCAAAATCTCAGATGCTGTTGCTGGACATTCTCTAGGGACCACACTTCATCCACCTCTGACACATTCTCCTCCCAGGGCCTGGGTCAGGGGCGGGATTGCCTTGGAATGGCACAGGATTTAATTTCACATTTGTTTTTTGTTTTTTGTTTTTGTTTTTACTGAGATTGTACAGATTAAAAATCTTTGTTTTTGTTGGACTTGTAGTTTTCGGCATGTATGTTTGCTGGCTGGTGCTTATGGCTACAAGAAGGAAGAAGTTTGTCAGGAAAAGAAGGGAACACAAAGGAAAGAAATGCAGAGAGTTGAAGACAAAGATTACTCTTGAGCCTGTTTGAGCCACTGGATAGAGCTATGGCTGAAGCAGGAATTCCCAAGGCTTTGCCATTATGTAAGCTAGTAAATCTTGCTAGGCTGAAACACTTTAAGTAGCATTTCTATTACTTGCAACCAAGTGTCCTAAAAGTTATATGTACTAAATAAATAATTCCAGAATCTACAAGTTGCAAAAAATATACCTAGCAAATTAATGAGAGAAGAGATTAAATCCCAGTGAACAAATTGGCTGATATTCCCCATGCCCACTTAATTGAATTTTTAATACAGTTGAACCAAAAATAGGTGAGAAAGATACTAGAAAGTCTGAGGCTTCTTTAAAAAGATAAAAAATAATTTTAAGAGATAAGGGGGAAAAATTAATTCATAGCTCATCAAAATTTCACTGCTGTGTTAAACAGGATGTAATTTATAGCAAGATGTGATATTTCTATCAAACTTGAATGAGAACTACCTTGAAAATCTAAATCAATGTAGTTAACTCTGAAAAAAATGTGGTGTAAGGTTTAAACATCATAAAATATCATATCCTTGCAATGGTTGAATTTAGACTTTAACCAGGGGCCCAAGAATATTCAGATGACTCATATGCACTCATTTGCCTGAATACAAAACCCAAATCAGCACTAATAAATCTAAGTATAAATAAAATAAATCTAACTAAATATAACACATCAATCCTTTTTTTCTCTCTCAACATCATCATTTTGATGGAAGTTAGTCACCGGCAGCCATCCCCAATTCATAAAATTAAAGAAATCATTTGTAATAATAGAGGAAAAGACACACATTCACTTTATAAATGTCCAATTTTGTAACCTGGAATCTTTAAAAAAATTATTATTAATACAAATGTTTTCAAATGTCAAATTAAAAGGTCCTACGCATGGTTAATAAGAGAAATTTAAAAGCTGCAAGTGAATTTTATTAGCTAAACTTGAGTTTGCCTATTCCAACATAAGTGGATACTAATATGCCATGATTAAACTTGATCTTTGGGAACAGATGTAGGGATCTGACAAACATAGGCACAAATTATCATTCTGCCATATTCCACAGTAAATGTTGCCAGCTCACTACTTCTAGTTTCCCTTGATTAAAATAAAATGCCTACAATGCTGAACAGTTTCCCTCCCCTCAATTTACCCAAATAAATAAGAATTGTGCCTGAATAAAATTATTTGCACTTAAAAAAAAAGAGTTGTAACTACTAACACTGCATTGACTGATTACTTAATTTGTTTTCAATTTTCACTTAATGTGGATCTCAACTCAATTTAATTGTATATATTACACCAACAAAGTTGCCTCCTGCTCCCAATGCACAACAGTCTAATTTACTTGCTTTGCCAACAGAAAGCATTACTGACAATATAGGGTGGGCGAAAGTAGTGTACGGTTGTATGTGAAGCACAGTTTAGTCTTGTATCATTTACTAATTATTGTCTTATTCTCCATACAAATAACAGTAAACCTACAAAGGTAACAAGAAACCTGTAAAAGTTCCAGTAAGTGAGAATTTTGTTAAAGCAGTGCATATGACTTATGCATACTATACCCACATACACAGTGGGTATGTGGGTATAATTCAGTGCTTTGTTTCATAGGAAGAAGCAGTCACCTGCAAAAGACTATAGGCAACTATTTAAGGGAGAATAATAATTTAGCACTATGAAAAACACACACATGCTGAAACCGGTTTGGCTCAATGGATAGAGCGTCAGCTTGGGGACTGAAGGGACCCAGGTTCGATTCCGGTCAAGGGCATGTATCTTGGTTGCTGGCATATTCCCCAGTAGGGGGTGTGCAAGAGGCAGCTGATCAATGACTCTCTCTCATCAATGTTTCTAGCTCTCTATTTCCCTCCCTTCCTCTCTGTACAAAATCAAATTCCCTGACCAAGAATCAAACTAGTTACCTCTTAGTTCATGCTCAACCACTGTGGCACACTGGCCAGACTAATCAATTCTTCATGGTAGTCTACTACTTGCACTCAAACATCTAATACATTCTTTCTTGCTTCTGCATCTGGTCCAGACCTTTTGAATCTGTTAGATAACTTGTCTGCAATGCAGGTTCTTACATAAATAACAGGTAGCTCTGGAAGGAAGAGTACCCTTGAATCACACATGGTCAGAAACACTTATCTCTGTCTCCTGAAAACGCTCAGAGAACAGGGTTGTAAAGTCCTGGACTCAGAAAATCAGCTGTGACTCCATTGCTTCTTTCTCAGACAAAAACAAGGAAAAACCACCTGTCAGTTATAGGTCTGTGCCACATGTGTTTGGCAAAGGAAAACTGGGTTCAGGCCCTAGAAGAGAGGGTGTTACTCCACAGGGAATGTGCAGACCTTATAATCACTGGAATTGAAAAATAAAACCAAATTAGTTGCTGTCTGACAGCCAATGCAGGAATCAAACAGTGACACATTTTATAGTGTTTGGAGAACCTATTTTCATCTATTATAGAAGAGATCTGTTCCTGTCCCCCATACAGACACTTTGTATCGGAAAGAAAATTTTGTCACTCCAGATATATTTTCTTTGGTGAAATTGTATCTGCTTATTTCCAAAGCCTACTGTGTAGACCCATCTGTCTGTGGCTTCTATTGGATAATTCTCTGCAATATTAATTCTCCTTATTAAAACCTTAAGAGAATGAGATAATTTTTAAAAAGCGTTCTTACTAAAATGCTACTTGTTCAATAAAATATATCTGTTGTATCTACTTTATAGAAAAAATATTTTTAGGAAAATGCAGAGAAATATTGACTTTTTAATACTAGAAAAGAGCCAGCTGTGGGTTCTGGCTAAGCTGAAGTGGCAAGAGCTTCATAGGGAATTCTGTAGC